GTCCCCTCTCACAGTACCGAGGTCCCCTGGGCACCTGGTACCGGGATCCTCTCGCAGTTGGTACCGAGGTCCCCTGGGCACCCGCTACCGGGATTCTCTCGCAGCCGGTACCGAGGTCCCCTGGGCACCTGGATCCTCTCGCAGTCGGTACCAGGCTTCCCTGAGCACCCAGTACAGGGATCCTCTGACGGTCGGTACCGAGACCCTTCTCCTGTCCCCTGCCCGGGATCCCCTTTCCTCCCGCCCGCCCGTTGGCACCGCCGGGCTGCAGCCCCTTCCCCAGCTGTCCTCAGCCCCCCTTTGTGCCCCTTTCCGGGCCCTGCGGTCCCTGTCCACGGATTGAGACCCCCCCCCCCCCCCAAACACCCCCCCCCCTCTTATCGTCCCCTGCTCGTTGTTGGCTGGGGACAGTGGCAGCGCAAGGGGTGCTCATGGCAGCTCCGTGACCCCCCCCTGCTCCTTCTGGAGGCCTTGGGGCAGGCGCTTTTGGTGACATCCCCTCCGTTCCCGTTTGCAGCTGGTAGCTGGGGTGGCTCTGGGCCTCTCTCTGGGCCCCTTTGCACCAAGGGCACCCCTGGAGTGACACCAGGGAGCCGGGGCAAGAGGACATCTCTGCAAGGACTTTCCCCTCGCGAGCTGTCACCTTCCCTGGCTCCTGTGCCACCGCGCGGCAGCACAGCCCTAAGTGTGTCAGGAGGCCCCCCGGGACCCCAAGAGGAGGGACGGGCACCGGGAAGGGCTTGGCGGGAAGAGTCACCACGTGCTGGGCAGGGACGGGGTGGCAGCTACGTCACTGTCCCCAGGCCCTGCACATGCGGCCGCGTTCCGTAGCCTGGTGCCACGGGCAGGTGGAGGGGACAAGGATGGTGCTGACGCTGGGGAGCGTCACGAAGAGGTTTAGGTCTCTGCCAGGGGACGTGCAGGGAGAAGGTTCAGGGAGTTTCTCTGGGGTTTTGCTGCCGGCTCCGGGGATGCAGAGTGGCATTTTAGTGGCTCCAGCACAACCTGCTGCTTTGCTCGGTTGGTTGGAGCCGCTTTCCTCTCCGCTATTGAATTTCCCATCTGTGCCCCTGCAGGCACAAGGACCTCGCGAGGAGGTGAGCCGGCCTCTAATTCCGCAGCTCACCCGCTCGCTCTTCCCTGCGCAGCCGGGATGTTGGGCTCTGCTCATTGTTTGGCTCCATTTAATCCGTGTCCGTTTGATCCGCTTGCAGCCCAGGGCTGTATCCGCGCACGGTGCGGAAGGACGCGGGCTTGGGCCGAGCCTGGCACCCCGGTACCAGCACCAGGCACCCCGGTACCAGCACCAGGCTCTGCCCGGGGTGCTCCCGGTGCCCGTCCTGCAGGTGTTTAGCCCTCAGAGTAGGTTGCCAGCGCTGTGAAGCGGGGGAAAGGCTGGAAGAAGCCCCGTGGAAGCAGGAGTTGGCTCAGGGCAACTGAGCTGCTGGGTTGTGAGGTCAGGGCCATGTGTGGTTGGTATTGAACCTGTTAGAGCTGTGGAAAGGATCCGGGTGGCCCTGGATTCCACGCCCTCCAGTGCAGGCTCTGCTGCTTCCTCTGCGCTTAAGGCTCCTGGATCCCGTTAGGCAGCACAAAGCGAGCAGGATTCCCTGGACATGGGGAGCCCCGGGGCCGGGGCGCAGCTCCCCGCGCTCCGGCCCCGCTCGACGCCGCTCTCCGTGCCCGCAGGTTTTGCGGGGAGTGCCTGCAGCCCTGCCTCCAAGTGCCCTCCCCGCTGTGCCCGCTCTGCCGCATGCCCTTCGATCCCAAGAAGGTGGAGAAGGCCTCCAACGTGGAGAAGCAGCTCTCGGCCTACAAGGCCCCTTGCAGAGGCTGCAGCAAGAAGGTAAAGCTCGCGCCAGGAGCTGCCCTCAGCCACGGGGCGCAGCCGAGGGGTGTGTGTGACCCTGCGGACAGGGTGCCAGGGAAAACGAGGTCACTTGCTGCCCACGGTTGGCCTTGCAAAGCTCCTCGTTCAGTGGGTCACCCGGATACATCTGCAGGACGTTGTGGCCCTTTTGGGAAGGCTGCTAGTGGCCAGGCGGGCACGGCCGCCCCGGGCCCGGCGCCCTCCTAGCTGCGTTTGGCAGCAGACTGGGGCTGTTGTAACATGCTGAGGATCTCCAGGTACGTGCTGAGGTGTCCTGCAACGCGAGAGGCTGAGGCAAAGCAGCTCTGCCTGTCCTGGAGGGCCTTGCTCCAGGTGCTGGGATCCCGACAGCCGCTGGGGAGCTCAGCTGGCAGCAGGGAAGTGGCATGGCCCAGCCCGGGGCATCTGCTCTGGGGCAGTTTTGGGACCTGCTGTAAGGCTGTGGTTCATGATGTGTTTACAAGCTGGGCTGATGCCCTTTCTGGCTTCCATAAACTCTGGGAATCTTCCTTCAACTCCCTGGCTGTGGCCCAGAAATGATCCCGTGCCATCGGGTCAGCAGTCCTGTCAGGCTCTGTGTGTTCCTGCTTCCTGCATGTGAAGGATGATGGAGCAAATGCTGCGGGGACCCGTGTGTATAATCCTTGTGCTGAAAGCACAGCCCCAAACCTCCCTGCTCCCCTTTTGGAAGGGTTGGTGCAACGTTGATGTGCTGGAGGGGACAACCTGCAAAGCCCAACGTTCGCTCTGATGTTGCTGGTCAAAGCGTGGCCAAAGCTGCTCTACCAACGTGGAGCGGAGGCCCCAGGGCTGTGTCTGGCAGAAAGGTTTCTACAGCCTCCGGGAACGTGTGTTCTCTCCTTGTTTTCCAGGTAACCCTGGCGAAAATGCGGTCTCACGTCTCCTCCTGTGCGAAGGTGCAAGAGCAGATGGCCAACTGCCCCAAGTTCGTCCCTGTCGTCCCCACGTCCCAGCCCATCCCCAGGTATTGCATCGGGAAGGGAAACCTGTCCCTGCTTACAAACCTCACAGGTGCTCAAATCCGTCCTTATAACAGCCCTGAAATCCTAGGATGGGTTTTACTTTCTCGTTATCCTGGCCTCAAAAAGATACATTGGCACCTTTTTCTTCTTGGCATCTGCAGCTGGGCACTGCCCTGTGCTGTTTCAGAAAGGGACCCACAAGGAAGGCCTGTGGTTTGGGGAGGAATGGCCAATAATTCCTCATTTCTCAGCAACTGTGGAACCCAGGACACACTGGTCTGGCCTCTGCCTGAGGCAGCTGGGACAAACCAGAACAGGGAGCAGCAAGGGAGGCTGGATTAGTTTGGGAGAAGCTGGTCCAGACCCTCCCCAGGGCTCTGAGCATTCCTTGCTCTCCTTAGCAACATTCCCAATCGCTCGACATTCGTGTGTCCGTACTGCGGGGCCCGGAACTTGGACCAGCAGGAGCTAGTGAAGCACTGCATGGAGAACCACCGCAACGACCCCAACAAAGTGGTGAGTGAAACGGCCCGGGGGGCCAGGACATTCTGCACGAGGTGGCCCTGGAAATCCAAATGTATCTTAATCACTGCTGCTCCCCACAAAGCGCAGCACTTCTCGATTATTTAATTTGTTTTGAATCTCTTTGACAAGAGGTAGGGAGCTGCCTCCATTAGCTTTGTGAGACGCTCCAGAACGGGCCACTCTGTCCCCTGTGTGCCAGCCGCGGGGCACTGAATCTGCTCTCCCCCAGCTCTGCTGGCTCAGCCCGGCTGTTGGTGACAGAGTGAGGACCTTGCAGCTCTCAGAGGGGCTCAGAGGGGCTTGTGCACACACGTGTAACTTGTCTGGGCACGTACCCGGAGGCTTTGTGCACTGAAAGATGTGCCAAGGAGGGAGGAAATGAGGGCTGAACCCCTTTCTTGGCTCATCCTGCTGCGGGACGTCTGTTATCGTGATGGGGAGCCTCTGCTCCCCCCTACCTTGTGTCAGGATCCCCCCTCTGTAGAGGCCGGGGCTTCCTGGGGACGGGCAGGGGGGTCTGCGCCCGCAAGTCACCGTTCCCTGTCCCTGCAGGTGTGCCCGGTGTGCTCGGCCATGCCCTGGGGGGACCCGAGCTACAAGAGCGCCAACTTCCTGCAGCACCTCCTGCACCGGCACAAATTCTCCTACGACACCTTCGTGGTGAGTGCGGCCACCAGCCACGGCCACGTCGTCTCCGCCGTGTCACCCGCCGGGTGGTGGGGAGCTGGGAGCAGCAGCCCACGTCGCTGTCCCCTCCTGCAGCAGGGGAAGGGGACGGTTCCTCCCTGGGCGTTACGGGGCGCTCAGGCGGCACTCGCTCGTCCCGCGCCAGCCTGGGCTTGCCAACCTGCCCTGCGGAGGGGCTGGAGCTGGTCCGGCACTAATCCAACCCAGGAAAAAGCCACTGGAAAAGGAGGAGATAAACATTACCCCAGGCTGTGAAGATGGGTCACCACTTCCACACTGTCCCTTAATCTCTTCCCTTGAGAAACCCCTTTAGGTGCTTCACGTGGGGAGGCCTGAGGTCACTTCTCCCACACTCCTATTTCACCCGGCTCACAGCTGGGGCTAAGAGCAGAGGGGATGTTACCAGGACAATTGTGTTAACCGTTATTGTAACCATGTTACAATCCCACGGAGCGCGTGTTGCTCCCGGGACCTTGCAGCCCCATTCGCCGGAGGCAATTGGGAACAGCCCAGTGAGAGGACAAGGAACGGGAAGGCTCCTTCCCTTGCCTGTTCCCACTGCTTTGAGGAGGCTCCGTGCTCGCTGGCGGCTCTCCTGACTGCCCCTGCTCTGTTTCAGGACTATAACATCGACGAGGAGGCAGCGTTGCAGGCTGCCCTGGCACTGTCGCTCTCCGAGAACTGAAGGCGACTGCGGAGCATCAGTTGGACCCACCCGCACACCCCTTCTCCTCTTGCACACTCGGCCTTCCTGCCGGAGAGCTACGGAGCTCCTTGGCCCCTCGGCACCCCCGGAGACCCTCCGCCTCTCTCCCGACTTCTCTCTGGGCTGATCCCACCTTGTTTAAGAAGGTGGAGTCTCTTTAGCATCACGCTGGATCGGTGAGTGAGCAGAGACGTCCGCTCTTGGGAGGAGAGAGCTATCCGTGCTGAAGGACTGGGATTGTCCCTCGTTTGGGCGTTTCATATCCATATACGGAGTATATACCTGTATCCAGATCTATTTATTATTAGATGCTTTTTGGCACCATTTGTCTTCATGCTCTTTGTTGCAATTTAATAGGTATCTAAAACTATGATGCATTTTATGCAAAAATGCCCTAGTTTTAAACTGGAATCATCCATGTTCTTTTAAAAAAAACGAAGAAAACAGCATGGAGAATTTTTTTTAAAACCCCATAAGGCTATTTCTGGAGATGTTGCTCTATCCCGTCCCCCACACTGTGGGCAAGAGCTGCCTTGTTTTCCTGCTACTGCGCAGGCAAGGCCAAGAGCAGCCTGGGCTAACAACCGGAGCGAGACTGTTGCCCTCATGTGCCCTGTGACTCCAGAGGGTCGGAGGAGTCTGCAGGGAGGTGTGGACAGTCCTGGCACCCGGCATTCAGTGAAACCTTTCACATTTTGTACTAGCTCTTGTGATACTAGGAGTTCTTGCATTTTTCTACATTAATCGGTGTGATACCTTTTCCACGTTTTATAGAGCAGGAACAGAAGCTGTTACTCTTCACACTGCAATATCTGTGACCGGGGACAAGAGTATTTTTATGGAACGTTATTAAGAAAGTATATTTTTTAAAAAAACAAACAAACGAACATGCTGTGGATTTGCAATGGGGCGGGAGGGAGATCCTGGACCTGCCGGGGGGACTGTGCCTGGGCAATGGGGAGTGCATGCGTTTCCTGTCCCATTATTTGGGGCCGTTCTGTTCCTTCGTCCGTGTGTTTCTGTTCAGCGAGCGGCGCTGCAGGTGAGGCCGGGCTGGAGTAGCACCTTGTGGGCCGGAGAAGCAGATCAGAATCACAGCAAGGCCGGGGGGTCCCTCTGGGGAGGAAAACTGTGCAGAAAGGGGCTGGAGGAAGCAGCTCTGTGTTCCGCAGGAGCTGGCTGGGATCCCACGGCCATTAACCCTCTCCTGCGTTTCCAGGCTCTGCGTGTTGTCACCAGCTGGGGCGGCTGGAGCAGCTCTCGCCCCGCGGGCTCTGTGCTGTAAACGCAGGCCTAATGTTGACAGATGGGCCTCCCTCTGCCTGAAGTTTGATCTCCCAAATGCTCGTAATTAAACGATGAGCTGTGATGTTTGAGCACGGAGCCAAGAGCTGGGGATCCATCCCGCAGTGAGAACTGCCAGGAATTGCCCAGGTTTGACTTTCCTCCATCTGGGACGGTTGGGAACCCGCAGAAATCTGCTGAGCTCCTGTAACTTCTTGGCAATAGAGATCTAGGATGGTTCCAGGAGGAGGATGCCACGGGGAGACTCCGTGTGCAGGGAGCAGCGTTAGCGTCTCCATGGGCAGAGCTGCTCCGTGTGGGAGCAGGACCCCTGCTCCATGGTGACGCCTGTGCGGGAGGGACATCTGCCCATCTGAGCTAGAATCCTAACCCTGATGTCCCCCCAAAACACAGGATTGCATCGCCCTGGGATGCCCTGGGAATAAGGCGCATCCGGGTAGATGCTGATCTCGGAGATGCTCCGTAGGCTCCCTGTGAGCACGTGTGTGGCAGGAAGCCCCTATGCAGGGACTCCCGCTTGCTCTCAAGCTCCTGCCCTTGGGAAGCAGCCGGGTGGCCGTGGTGTTTTGTCCCCGCGCTGCTCTGGGTTGTGTCGCAGCACTCGGGAAGAGGCCGCGTCCTTGTGCTTGTCCCGTGCCAGGCACTGTGCCAGCTGCTGCTGTCCCCAGCACCGCGGAGCCGTCCCCGACCAAAGGGACAGCCATGGGGCCACGTGCTGGGGCTACCCCATCCTTCGGGGCCGTGCCAAGCACAGGATCAGCACGAAGCTGGCAGCAAGCTACCCACAGCGAGGGGAGGCCGAATTTGTCACTAAACTCTGAGCCCGCATGGGGACGCGTTGTCAGGGAGCTCGCCCCCAGACCCGCTCCGCTTCAGCAATACTGTCTTTTCTATTTAACCTTGAACTAAACGGTACCCAGCGCTTTGCAGGGCTGGGAGCTCCCTGTGCCTGCGAGGAGCTGCCAAGCCGCACGGGCCCCTCGCCGGGAGCTCAGCGGGACACAGGGAAAGGGCTGGAGCTTCCCAGCGGGATCTCCTCCACCCGGGAGCCCCCGTGAGCCCGTCCAGCCGCCTGGGGCAGCACCAGCGCAGGGGCCGCGACGGCCGCTCTCCCAGGGCGCTTTCCGCAGGGAGCTCCCGTGCGTCTCGCCCCGCTTCCCACGGGATTCGGGAACGGCTGCGCTCAGCGGGATGCGGGGAGGCCCTGCTGTGCCGGCGGCCCCTCGGCTCAGCGCGCGGCTCCTGACTTTTTTCATAACAACTCCAACTTTTAACGGGACGTACTGTTTTTTGAAGAAGAAAAACAAAAACGAATCAATGACGTATTTGTAGCCAACCATTTTTCTCAATAAAGGCAGTTTCATCCACGGGTGGTTTTGGTGTGGAGTGTCTCCCCCATGGGCTGTGAGCACCCGGGAAGCATCCGCAGGGCGTTGCGGCTGCCCCTGTTGCAATCCTGCCCTTGTCCTGTGTAGCAGGATGTGCTGCGTGTCCCATTGGGAATCCTGCGGGCAGGATCGGATGAGAAGGGACTGGATGGGAAGGGAGAGGATAGAGCAGCATGGGATGGGAAATGGGATGGGATAGGACAGTAAGGGCCGGGTTGGGACCAGGTTGGGGGCTGGTAGGTGCCTGTTTCTGCAGGGAAGCGGCTGCCCCAGCAGTGCTGGGGGGTGGCTGGGCCTGGGGAGCCCTGTGGGTCACTGGGAAGGGGAGCCCTGGGGGCACTGGGGGGCACTGGGGTATTGGGGATGCTGGAGACACTGGGACAACTGGGAGCACTGGGGGATATTTGGGACACTGGGAACACGGGAGGGTATTGAGGACACCGGGGGATATTGGGGGACATTGGGTTTTATTGGGGACAGTGGGGGCTATTGGGAGCGCTAAGGGTATTGGGGACACTGGGGGGTTTGGGGAGCACTGGGGGATTTTGGGGACACGGGGATATTTGGGACATTGGGTTTTATTGGGGACAGTGGGGGCTATTGGGAGCACTGGGAGTATTGGGGACACTGGTGGGTATTGGGGACACTGGCAGGTATTGGGGACATGGGGGTTTGGGGAGCACTGGGGGTATTGGGGACACTGGGGAATATTGGGGACACTCCGGGTATTGGGGACACTGGGGACACTGGGGCGAACCCATCCCCCCTCCCGCGCTCCAGGCCGCCCCGGCGCCAGGCGCATGCGCAGCGCCGCTCCCGTCCCTGACATGGCGCCGCGCGCCCCGCGGCTTCGCCCCGCCCTGCCCGCTGC